CCTTATCACTGGACTCCTGTACCTCGTTACTCTCATGGTTTTACTGGGCTGTCCACTCCCAGGCTGAACAGTGAACCTCGAAGGTAACTTCACCACTGAGCTAAAAGGGTGTCTGGGGGCCATAATCTCGGGGTTTCTCCAGTCTCCTTTAGGCCAGTAAATCTGGTGCAAAAGACCTCTTCAAAGTGTTGAAAAGCAAAGATGTCACCTTGAAGACTAAGGTGTGCCTGACCCAAGCCATGGTATTTTCAATTGGATCATACGCATGCAAAAACTGGACAATGAATATGGAAGACCAAAGAATTGATGCCTTTGAATTGTGGTGTTGGTGAAGAATACTGAATATACTATGGACTGCCAAAAGAACAAGCAGATCTGTCTTGGAAGAAGTACAACCCAAATGCTCCTTAGAAGCAAGGATGGCAAGACTATGTCTCACATACTTTGGACATGCTATCAGGAGGCACCAGTCCCTGGCAAAGGACATTGTGCTTGGTAAAATAGAGGGTCAGGAAAAAGGAGGAAGACCCTTGATGAGACGGATTGACACAGTGGCTGCAACAACGGGCTCAAGTATAACAAGGATTTTGAGGATGGTGCAGGACCAGGCAGTGTTTCATTCTATTGTACATAGGGTCACTATGAGTTGGAACCGACTCGAGGGCACCTAACAGAGACAGCACTGCTGTAACAGAAACACCACATATGGGGGCCTTTAAAGAACAGACTTTATTGTCTCACAGTTCTGGAGGCCAAAGTCCAATTGGGGTGTTGGCCATGTTGATTCATTCTGTGAGCCTCTTCCTAGTTGTGGTGTTTGCTAGCAATCCTTAGTATTCTTTTGCCAAGGATCCTAGATTACCTTCACACATCATCTTTCTTCTCCTGTATTTGTGTGTCTCTGTGTCTATTCTGGTCTTTTTATAACTCAGAAATGATTAGATTTAGCATCCACCCTATACTAGTATGACCTCAACTGACTGATTGACTGTATTACATTAGATTGCAATGTGGAAAGTCATTACATTACTTTACATTACGGAAGGTAATATACTTTTTCCAAGCCCAATGGATTTAATCATATATAACTACTCTATGACAGCAACCAGACTAGTGTTTGACCGAACAATGAGGAACCATAGCTTAGCCAAGTTGACACCTAAGAAGAACCATCACAGGACTGTTTACAAAGGTGGGGGCAGCATTAAGAGAACCCACAAGAGCTGGTGAAGCACTCAGGGGAAGCAATAGTGGAAGCCATTAGCAACTCTGCACTCAACGGGGCAAGGGAGGGAGTGTGGGAGCAGTGTGGCAAGACTGTGGTTGTAGACCAAGGCCACTGGGGCCAAACTTGCTAGAAGCCTGAGGGCGAGGAATGCCATCTGCAGAGGTCAGCCTTCCAGGGCACAGAGTGGGTGAAGAGAGGAACTGGAGGAGCAAACGGAGAATGACCAGCACATTGCTGGTCTCCTGGCTTCCTCCCCAGCCATCACCCAATGTGGCCAGAAGCAAGGAGATTTCAGGAAGGGCAAATCCTATCTCCTGGTAATGAGACAGTGTGAGAGCCAAGGACAAGATTAGCATCCCTGACCTCCCAGCCCTACTCCCCAATCTACTCCCCACTATTAGACTGGCAGCCAGAGGCAAGTCTGGTCATGTCTCTCCACTGGTTAAAAGTCTTCAGGGAGCCCCTTTGCCTCACCTTAGCAGGGCATGCGGAGCACTTTGGACTTGGCCACTCTTCAGCTTCATTTCCTCTCACTGTGCACACCCTGCCCCACCCTAGTCTGACTGAACACTTGGCTCACCCCTCACTTCCTCAGGTCTCTGCTCCCAAGTTGTCTCTTTGGCCAGGAAGTTTCCCTGGCCTCCTGATCCTGAATAGCACCCCCTTCCCTCTGTCCTCCATGTCTGGCTTAATTTTCCTCATCACCATCCAATATTATCTGTTTATTTTTATTGTCTCTCTTCCTCCCATTACAGAAGCCTTGTTTGAACAGCTACTACATCCCCAGCCCCTAGAGCAGTGCCTGATAAGAATGTAGTAACTACTTGTTCATTCAAACACTGGGAAGTGTCTGAGTACTAAAAGTCATGAGGCTGGATGAGATCATCAAGAGAGTGAGCTGGAGATGGAGAAGAGGTGCAAGGATCGAGCCCTGGGCCCCACAACATTCAGTCACTGATATGAGGAGAAACAGCCAAGGAGGCAGAAGAGCCAGTGAGATGGCAGGAAAGCCAGAGGAATGCGGGAGTCTGAAAACCAGGAGAGTAAAGTTTCCCAAGAGGAGGGACAGATCATGTCACTGATAGGTGAAGGGAGTAGAGGACTGACCACTGAATTTAGTAACATGGAAGTCAGTGGAGACCTGGACAATAGAATTTTCAGTGGAGTGGTGGGACACAAACTTTACTGGAATGAATTCAAGACAAAATAGGAGAAGATAAACTGGAGACAGTGACTATAGAGAGACAACTTTTTCCAAGTGTTTCTACTGTAAAGAGTAGCTGAGAAACCAAAGCTAAGAAGTTTCCTGAATACAGTCAAACACTTGGAGGAACACAGTAGCAGGGGTAGGGGTCTGGGGACCATGCTTTCAGGGGACATCTAGGTCAATTGGCATAACAAAGCTTATTAAAAAAATGTTCTGCATCCTACTTCGGTGAGTGGCGTCTGGAGTCTTAAAAGCTTACAAGTGGCCATCTAAGATGCATCAATTGGTCCCAACCACTGGGAGTAAAGAAGAATGAAGAACACCAAAGACACAAGGAAAGTAGTAGCCGAAGAAACAGAAAGGGCCACATAAACCAGAGACTTCATCAGCCTGAGACCAGAAGAATTAGATGGTGCCTGGCTACCACCAATGACCACCCTGACAGGGAACACAACAGAGAGTCCCTGATGGAGCAGCAGAAAGATGGGGTGCAGAACTCAAATTCTAGTAAGAAGACCAGACTTAATGGTCTGACTGAGACTAAGGAGCCCCAGAAAGCATGGCCCCTGGATTCCTAATCAGCCCAGAACCAAAACAATTTCTGAGGCCAACTCTTCAGACAGGGATTGGAACGGACTGTGCGACATAAACTGATACTCGTGAGGAGTGTGCCTTTTTAGCTCAAGTAGATACAAGAGACCAAAGGCGTAGCTTCTGTCCAGAGGTGAGATGGGAAGGCAGAGAGGGTTAGGAGCTGGTTGAATGGACATGGGGAATCAGGGGTGGAAAGGAGGAGTGTGCTGTCACAGAATGGGGTGAGCAGTTAGGGTCACATAACAATGTATGTATAAAATTTTGTATGGGAGACTAACTTGAAATGTAAACTTCATTTAAACTACAATAGGAAAAAAAAAAGAAAGTTCATGTATTTGACTCCTTGCATGTCAATGGATTGTCTTATTTTGGGTTAAGAACTTTGTTATCCAAGAAGCTAGCACCAGTGAAATAGTATGTAGGAAACACCTTCCATTTCATTAAATACCTATATAATCCAAAAAAAAAAAAAAAAAAGAGTAGCTGAGAAATCTGATAGTACCTGGAGGGAGAATGGTGTTTGAGGAATTTTGGTTTTGTTATTGTCATCTTTTAAATGGGAGCAGTGTCAGAATGTTTGTGTGCAGATAGAGAGGATGGGGAGGGGTAGGAAGTTAATGCTAAAGGACAGAGAGGGAAGAACTGCTAGAGCAGTGTCCTTCAGTAGGTGAGAGATGCTAAAATCTGATGTTCGAGTGGAGAAATTGCCCTTAGCCAGTCTGGGTGTTTATCCAAAGTCATAGGAGAGACTGTCTGAGCACAGACACAGGTGGGAGGAGAGATGTGGTGGTGGGAGCCTGAGAAAGATCTCTTATGTTTGCTTTTACCTTCTCAGTAAAACAGGAAGCCAGGTAATCAGCTGAAGGTAAGGGTGAGGAGAGGTCAGAGGTTTGACGAAAAAGGAGAGGGTGTGAAATAGCCTATCTAGGAGGGTGGGACGGTGAGTGGATGGGGGAGTGTGATGGGCTGAATAATGTCCCCCCAAAGATATCAACATCAGAATCTCCAGAACCTGAGAATAAGTTACTTGGTGTTATGGGTTGAATCATGTCCCCAAAAAATATGTGTTGTAAATCCTACTATACCTGTGGTTATAATCCCATTTGGGAATGGGTTTTGTTATGTTAATGAGGCAGTACTAGTACAGCGTGTGTCTTAAATCAATCTCTTTTGAGATGTAAAAGAACAGATTAAGCAAGTGGCAAGAAAGCACAGATGGGAGAAATTAGATGCCACACCACATGAGATCTCCCAGGAACTAAGAAACAGAAGCTGAAAAGAGAAAAGAAGCTTCCTCAGAGCCAACAGAGAGAAAAAGCCTTCGTCTAGAGCCCTGAATTCAGACTTCTGGCCTCCTAAACTGTGAGCAAGTAAATTTGTTTGTTAAAGCCACCCACTCATGGTATTTGTTATAACAGCACTACAGATATGATTGCAGATGTGATTAAATTAAGAATCTTGACATGGGGAGATTACCCTGGATTACACATGGGGACACCATGAGTTGGAATCAACTCAACAACAGTGGGTTATCCGGGTGGGCCCAATGTAATCACAAGGGTCTTTATAAGAGGGAGGCAGAGGGAGATATGACTACAGAAGATGCTACAAGGTTGGTTTTCAGGATGGAGGAAGGGGCCGTGAGACAATGAATACAGGCAGTCTCTAGAAGCTGGGGAAATACCATAATATATCCTGACACCTTCCAATGTCTGAATGAACAAGTATTTATTGCACTCTTACTTCAGATTCCTCCCTGAATCCTCCAGAAGGAATGCAGCCTGACCCAAGTGGAACAGGTCAGAGGTTACCTCGAGACCCTGACCCTGGCCCTCTTCCCTGACCCTCGGGATCCCCTACCCCTTGCTCCCAGAGCCCTTGTGCTGAGCTAAGCACCCATCAATGGGCCTCACAGGTAGGTAGAGCCTCACATTCAAGTGAGATGGTCTGCGTGAGCACCTCCACCTCCATCACAGATGAGGCTGAGGAGACACAGATGGCAAGAGCATACTCCAAGGCCAGCTGGATGATTCTGGCACAAAGCTGCCATCTTATTGTCCACAGGCCTGAAGGAACAGCTGCGCTCTCAGCAAAGGCGGCTGTCATGGGGGTGCCTCTCATTGTCCAGCCACAACATGGGCCATCAGACTCCAGTACCCACAATCCCCTCTCTCCCTACACACCTACTTGGCGACAGGCTAGCAGGACCACAAACCCCAGCCCAGACCCAGCCAGGGAGCCAAGGCTCAACGTGTAAAACAAACTAAAGGTTTATTTATAAGCAGGAATGCTATTCAGCATACAGTGCAACTCTCATTGTCTTGGGAACGACAAAAGCCAGGGTAATTGAAGCCACACCCAAAGTCTTCCAATTCATCCATTCCCTGGGCAAGGAAGTGAGGCCTGAGGGCCTCCCAGAACTGTCCACCAGGGGGCAGACGTGTTCCACAACCATGCAGTATCCAACTCGGGCAGAGACCAGGGCCAGTCCAGGCAGTCTGCCATCTTGATTCCAGGATGGGAAGTCCTGCTTGTCTCTGTGATAATGGACAGTTCAGGGGCCAAGTTCAAGTCCGGTGGAATTTATCACTGAGGGAGTCAAGTACTTGGGATGGAGCCAGCCTCTCAAGAGTCCTCATACCCCTTCCTTCTAGAATCTGGTCTAGTCCACACTGTCCACCCTCTAAGGCCTTTGGGCATGAGTCTGGGGGGAAATGGTTGACTCCCTAATGGGGACAAAGTCCCTTGGCAAAATTACTGGCTTTTAGCTGCTTCAAAGCGGGCTATCCAACCCAACGACATGAGCTACACAGACACACAACACAGATACAGACACATAGACACAAGTTGGCTCTCAGCATCTCACATCCACTCAGAATCACAGTAGGCACAGTACCAAAATGGCTCTGCAGCTCCCCTGGGGTCTGGGACCCCAGAAACAGGGGGGAGGGGCCAGGGGGACAGAGGAGAACCCCTCAGTAGGGAAGGAGAAAGGTCCAGGCTGAGGTAGGAGGAAAAGATGCCTGCAGGGGGCCTCAGACATCTGCAGTTCCAGAAATTCCCTGATATGAGAAGGTGCAGCTTTGCACCAGACAGGGAGGGAGAAGGGGAGGGACACGGTGTGGAGAGAGGAGAGGGCTGGAGCCATCAGTAACTGGAGTGAAGGTCAAAGGCAGAGGATGCAACTGTGGGTGAGGGGCTGTATGCATCCTCAAGAGTTTTGCTTTGTTTTGTTGTTCTGTTTGCTTGCATGTTGCTTAATATTTTAAAAAATTGCCACGTTAAAATAGGAAGATTTCCGGTTAAGGGTTTGCCATCAACCTCATTAAGGTTGCCTTCCTGGGGCCTCTGGGCACCTGATTTTCACACTGTGGCAGAAGTGGACTTAGAGGAGGTACTTTTCAGGGGTCCTGAGTAAGGTGGGGGACTTGTATCCTCTGCAGGGGCTGCCGCCCCCTACCCACACAGAACCATCTGCTAGATGGCCACCCCCAGCCTGTCTGCTCACTGGGACTGTCCCGCAGTCTCAACATGCAGGCTGAAGCTCTGTCTTTGCTTGCTGGATGGCTGTCCTGAGTCCCTCTTCCCCTGCAGGCCTCCTGGGAAGCCGGAGTCAGGTAAAAAAACACCAAGGGCTCTAGAGGCCAGGCTCTGGAGTCCAGCTGGGGGCAGTTCAGAGAGAGGCAGGGATTCAGCCTGGGCTGTCTAGCAAATCCAGGGCCAGCTCTGCCATTGTCCAGCCAGCTTTCTTAGAAGGACCCACGCCAAGGCAGAAGAGGGTCTCCACACCCCTCCCTGCCTCATCCCCCTGCCTGCAAGAGAAAGGGAGGTGGAAGCTGTGGAGACCACTGAAGGAAGTGGCTCAGAGAGAGCCACTAAGTCCTGGGAGTTGAGGCCTGGAGGGACCAGGAGCCGCTTCGCAGGGTTGCCCTGCCACGGGTCAGCACCTGTGGCTGTGACACGGCCCCTGCCAGCTGGCTAACAGAGCTTCATCCCGGCATCCTGCACACCCAGAGGCAGCGGCTTCTCCTCGGAGTTCTGCTGCAGTGTCTCTGGTGACCCTGGCTGGGACTGAAAGGGGCACTCCTCCTTGGAGAAGGGGACCTGCTCGTCCTTCGGGGAGCCTGAGGGGCTGGCGTCCATGTCCCCTGTCATGGAGCTGGCCTGGGAGGGGCACTGGGAGCCGTGGTCGGAGCTGCTGCAGACGTTCACAATGCAGGTGACGTTGACCTGGGTCCCACAGCTGCCAGGGGAAGGCTCTGCTAAGAACAAGAATGGGGCGGGGGTCAGTCCAGGGGTCTCGGAGCAGGGGATGTGTTCATAGCTCGGGGAGAGGGGGCACTGGACCAGGAAGAGGACAGGGTTCTAGCCCAGCTCTGCTGTCTCCGGGGTGGGGTGGGCTAGTAGTTTGTCCTCCTTACTGAGGTCAGGATGGCATGGAGCTTTGTGATTTGACAGTGCTGGGTTTGAATGCCTAACCTACCTACATATTCTAGGCCAAGTCACTTAACTTCTTGGAGCTTAGTTTGCTCAGCTGTAAAATGGGTATAATGATCCTATACAACTCCAGACAGGGATGAGTCCCTCATGTTCACTGCTGTACCTCCAGTGCCTATGTGGCTCCTGGAGATGGAGCCACACTCTCAATGAACCAGGGGTTGAAGACTGCTCCACACTTCTGTTTGCAGGCTTACAGGCACCTCTAACTTAACTTGACTCTACTTCCCACCTCCTGTCCAACCTCTTCCTCCCCATTTCAGTTCACACTGCCACCATCTGCCCAGCTGCTCAGGCCCAAAGCCTTGCACCCATCTTGATTCTCCCGCTTCCTCCCACATCCCATGTCCTGCCTTGTCTACCATCAAAAGATACTTCAAGTTCACTGCCTCTGCTGCTACCACCCCATGTAAGCCTCCATCCGCTCCCACCTGTTTGCTGGCTTCTACTCCACTCCTCTGCCATCTGTTCTCCACCAGCAGGCAGAGCCAGCCCTTCAAAACTCAGTAGATCACTTCCTGGGCTGCTTGAAAAACCACAGTCCTCACCACAGCCTCTGAGGCCCTGCATGTCTGGGCCTCCTTTTCCAGCCTCATCCCCCCACCCCCCTATCTCCTGCCACTCCAAGATCCTGGCCGGTCCATTCCAGCCACACTCCCCTCCATGCAGCTCCTTGAGCCCTCCAAGCCTAGGGGCCTTTGCACATGCTGTTCCCTCAGCCTGGAGAGCTCTTCCCATTCGCACAGCTCACTCTCATTTCACTCAGGCCTCAGCTAAAGGCCACCTCCTCCAGGAAGCCTACTGAGATCTCCCTCTCTAAAGACACTCACCTGCTGTCCCAACTGTCACTCCCTGTTCTATGATCTCCAAGGCCCACAATCAATTTCCTCAGTCACTTGTTTGCACCTGTCTCCCTCACCAGACCCTGGCCCCAGAAGGGTGGGGACTTTTTGACTGTTTTCTGCTGTATCCCTCATACCTACAAAAGGAACACATGCTGAATGAACAACATCCAGCCCACAGGTGTGTTTTGTTCTTATTGGTGGTAGTGTGGCTACCAACAGGTAGGATTCAGGAGTTTACGTTTTGACAACCTGGATTTCTGGCTTTCCCTAGGAGCCGGATGTGGGAAAACTAGCAGGAAGGGCTCCAGGATGCAGGTCTCCCCCACCACCCCTCCTGTATAAGTGGCCCGCCCAGCACCAGCAGGCACCTGTGTTTCCTAACTAGCTGGTGAGGGACTGAATGATGGAGTCAACTGGGGAGATGAATGTCCAGGGCTAGACACATCATCGTCCCTCAGAAAGTTACTACTGCTCCAGGGACCTGCTGAGTGCCTGAACGCACATAGTGTCCAAGGTACGTGGGCAGGGCTGGCCCTTTGGTTCCTCCAACTCCAAAAATTTGGGGTAGCTGGGGAGGAGGCCCAGAGCCGGCAAGCTGCTCTGCTCAGAACAGCCCCAAACAGGCAGGGGGTGGGGCTGAAATCAGGGCCAGGAGGAAATTTCCACCCTGAGCCTCCCCAGCACCCAAATGTCACCCAGAGTCTCCCATGGCCTTTGCACATGGTGAGTGAGACAGTGTGGGGGCGGGCTGGGGGCACAGCCCTGAGGTTTACAGGTTACACAGTGGAGAAAGGGGGCGAGGGAGGAGAAGTGGAGGGGAGGAGAGAGACAATGCAGAGACCAGGAGGGTGACTCTTGGGAGAAGGAACAGACAGCAGGAGGGGCCGAGGGTAGAGGGGATGGGGAAGACATGGGCAGACACTGGCGCCAAGGAAGCCACACCGCGACAGCTGCAGAACACGTAGGGCTAAGGAATCAGCAAGACAAATTCAAGGCCTTGGTCAAACACTAAGAGTTTAGATGTGGAGCTTGTTCATTCAGTCAACAAACATTTCGGGTCACCTGCTCTGTTCCAGGCCCTGACCCAGTACCTCCCTCAATGGGTTCTCAGGCTCCGGCAGGGTGTGGGGAGGCACTGACATCACACTGATGAGACATAACTATGATGAAGAAATCAGAGGGGGGCACCTGAGCCCATGTGGGCAGTCAGGGGAGGAGGTGGCCTCAAGTCAGGTGATAGGAAAGATGTTGCAGGCAGGGGAATGGCATGAGTGCAGGCAGAGGCAAGGGGGAGCAGCAAGTCAGGGGAGCAGCAGAGTGTGGTGTGCTGCAGTGGGGCTGTGGTTGGGGGGTGTCTGGAGCCAGCAGTCCCTACCTGGAGGTGGCCCAGTGAGCTGGTTGCCCCAGCAAGGCACCAAGCCAGACATACTGTCACTCATCACTCACCAGCCCCACCAAGAGGCGCCATGCCTTGCTCTCAAGAAGAGAAAACTGAGGCACGGCAGGGTTGAAGAGCCTGCTCAGCTTCACATGGCACCTAACCCTGAGTCCACAACATTCCCTGACTTCCCTCCAGCTGGCGCAGCCAGGTGAGAGGGAGAGACGCAGGCCGGCAGCAGGGCCCATCAGCAGCCTTGGCCTCTGCACTGCAAAATAAACCTGAAGAAGCCCCGGGGTCCCTAGGGAGCCCCTGCAGAAGCCTGTGTGGGCACTGCAGATTCCAGCCTAGAGGTGTCATCTGTCACAGACCAGGTCTGGGACACAAATGCAGCCTGCATAAATAGGGCACAGGTCCTACACTTCTCCATAGCCCACACGGACCCCACAATCCTCTAAAGGAACCAGCAACAGCGGCAGCATGGGGAGCCTTGGAAGTATTATTAATCATCCATCTTCTGACCCCTGGCTCTTGCACTGACTAGCTGTGTGCCTTTGAACAAGTTGCTTAGCCTCCCTAGCCCTCAATTTCCTTGTCTGTAAAATGGGATATTCATAGTAGCTACTTCTTAGCACTGATGTGTGGATTAATTTTATGTACGTAAGGTGCCCAGAATAGTGCCTGATGTACCGTAAGCACGCAGGAAGTATATGCTGTTATTATTATTGTTGTTGTTGGTATTATTAGCCAGGCAGACTGCTGGGACAAACGAGATGGTCCAAGCTTATGAGGAATGCCACAGCCTGGTGAGGGGGACAGGAGCAGACAACAATGGCTATACAGTGTGACAATCCCGTGACTGGGAAGCAAGGGCTCGGTGAGCCTGGAGGTGCAGCCAACCCAGCTGAGGGGAGGAGGGCCAGAGGGGAGAGGGTTTCAGGAAAATTCCCCACCCGGATATTAGGGACTGGAAAGACAAGTTAGGGTTGTCCACGTGCAGGGGTGAGGCAAAGGAGAAGAAAAGGTGCTCCAGATGAAAGGACTAGTGTGGGCAAAGGTGGGGGGAACACGGTGGGTTCACAGAACTGAAGGAAGTCCGGTGGGGCTGGATGCTGAGCAGGGAGTAGGGAGACGAGGCTGGAGAGCAAAGCCAGGGCCAAGTTGTGCCCCACTAAGAGCTCAGACCTCGCCCTGCAGCAGGGGTCCGGGAAGAGGTGGCTAAGAGCGAAATCAGGACAGAAACACAAGGACAGGGGCAGGGTGAGGAGGGACTGAAAGCAGGTGCGCTCTCACCTGAGCTGGCGCAGCTGGCCGGGGCCCCCCCAGCACCACTGGCCTTCTCCGTGCCTGGCGCCTCTGGCTGGTTCTTGGCAGGCACCCTCCTGAACGCAGCGCTGGCCGAGCTCTCTAGGGAGCTGCTGCTGGAGCTGGGTGCCGTGGTCAGCAGGTGCTGCTGCTCAGGGCCCAGCACATTCCGGGCCTTATCAGCCGGCAGGTGAGGCTAGAGAGGGTCGAGAGGAGGGAGGCGGTCAGCCCCAGCAGCCCACTCCTCCTCCCTCCTCTTTCTCACCACCATCCGCACCCCTTGCTGTCAGCACTTCACAGTTTACACGGCGCTTCTGCCCACACCTGCACATTCTTTCCACACATGTTGCTTTTTATAAGGTGAGATTCTCTGTGGGTTCTGTGTTTCTGTGGTTAGTGACTGGCTTCTCCACTGGAGTGTGAGCCCATGTGGCCCTGCTTACCAAACAGCCTCGAGGAACCTGGGTTTGCACCTCAGTTGGTGTAAGTAAACAGAGGCCCAGAGAAGGAAAGTGACTCTCCTAAGGGCACTCCATCAGCACAGGGAGACACAATGCAATTTAGCAGCCAAGGGCATGGGCTCTGGAGCTAGACCACACACGGGAATCCTGACTCTACCACTCATAGCTGTGACCTTGGACAAATTACTTAACCTCTCTGTGCCTCTGTTTTTTTTTTAATCTAAAAAACAGTTGCTGTCAAGTCAACTCTGACTTATGATGACCCCATGTGTGTCAGAGTACAACTGTGCTCCACAGGATTTTCAATGGCTGATTTTTTGGAAGATGATCACCAGGGCTTTCTTCCAAGGCACTGTTGGGTGGACTCAAACCTCCAACTTTTAGTTCAGTAAAATAAATAAAAACAGTTGCCATCGAGTGGGTTCTAACTCATGGCAACCCCAAGTGTATCAGACTAGAACTGTGCTCCACAGCGTTTTAAATGGCTGATTTATCGGAAGTAGATCACCAGGCCTTTCTTAAGAAGCACCTCTGGGTGAACTCGAACCTCCAATCTTTCAGTTAGCAGTTGAGCGCATTAACTGTTTGCACCACTCAGGGACTCCTTTTCTTCTAGAAAGGGGGAGTAATAAGCTACCTTATAGGATTGTTGTGAGGATTAAATGGTCAAATATTTGTAAAGTGCTTTAGAACACTGTCCGGCGCGTAGCAAGCTCCATACAGAGGTTTATTAAACCAGGGGTGAGCAACTATGGCCCAGAGGTCAAATCTGACCCGCCATCTGTGAGCAAAAGATGGTTTCCAATTTTTAAGTGGTTGGGGGAAAAGACATCAAAAGAAGAACAATATTTAATGACACATGAAAATTGTGTGAAATTCAAGTTTTAGGTTCAAAAAATAAGGTTTTACTGGAACGTAGCTGTGTACATTTGTTTACGTACTGTCTGTGGCTGCTTTGGGAGTTCCCGGGTGGTACAAACAGTTAATGCACTCGGCTGCTAACCGAAAGGTTAGAGGTTAGAGTCCACCCAGAGGCGCTTCAGAAGAAAGGCTTGGTGATCCAAAAAACCAGCCATTGAAACCTCTCTGGAGGACACTTCTACTTTGATACACACGGGGTCGCCAGGAGTCAAAATTGACTCAACAGCAACTGGTTGGGCTTTAGGGCCGCTTTTATGCTATAACAGCAGGGTTGGGTGGTCGCTGGGTTGTTGTTGTTACTGTTGTTGAGTGCCACTGAGTCAATTCCGACTGCCCCATAGGGTTTCCTAGGCTGTAATCTCTACAGGAGCAGATCACCACATCTTTTCTCTTTCGGAGCCACTGGTGGGCGTGAACCACTGACCTTTCAGTTAGTAGCAGAGCACTTAACCATTGCGTCGCCAGGGCTCCTTTATCTGGCCCGTAAAGACTGAAATATTTCCTATCTGGCCCTTTACAGAAAAAGTTTGCTGACCCTTGGGTGCAATCAATTAATCCAGTGCAGGAGCTCTTTCATTTAGGACCTTGGACATGCTGTCTCCAATCCCCTTTCCAGACTCCAATCCCCAGGCTACTTTGGGATGCCTCCTAATGTCTTTTTCTCATAGGAAAATGTCATGGATTGAATTGTGTCTCCCAAAAATATCTGTCAACTTGGCTAGGCCATGATTCCCAGTATTGTGTGACTGTCCACCATTTTATCATCTGAGGTGACTTCCCTATGTGTTGTAAATCCTATCACTACGATGTTAATGAGATGGATTAGAAGCAGTTGTGTTGATGAGCTCTACGAGATTACTTGTGTCTTAAGCTAATCTCTTGAGACATAACAGAGACAAGTGAGCAGAGAGACACGGGAACCTCAATATCACCAAGAAAGCAGCACCAAGAGCAGAGCGCATCCTTTGGACCCGGGGTCCCTGCACCTGAGAAGCTCGTGGACCAGGGGAAGACTGATGAGAAGGACCTTCATCCAGAGCCGACAGAGGGAGAAAGCCTTCCCCTGGAGCTGATGCCCTGAATTTGGACTTCTAGCCTACCACTGTGAGAGAATATATTTCTCTTCGTTAAAGCCATCCACTTGTGGTACTTCTGTTATAGCAGCACTAGATGACTAAGACAGAAAACACAGGTAATAATAATAATAAAATATGAGCTGGCATTTGAGTGTCATCTAATGCCTAGTGTGCCAAAGTCCTTCCAGACACTCTCTTTCCAATAGTCCAGTGTTATCCTTGATTTACAGATGTGAAAACTGAGGCAGAGAGATGGAGTTACCTGCCCCAGGTCAACACAGGGTGTATGCAGCTGGACTAAGAGCCATGAGGGCTGTCCTGGGTCTGAGGCTTCCACTCTGGAGGCTTGAGACAAGGTCCCCGTTTCCAGACACCTAGGCGGGGGAGCACCTGGAAGCTCCACACCGAGGCTGCTGTCTGTCCACACTGTTGGATGGGCACATAGGCCTTGCATTGGGGTTCTCAGTGTTCGCTGGATCCCAGAAAGAAAGGAGGTGGCATGGGCCACATCCTCACCAGCTGGGCCAGAGGCAGAATGAGAACTGAGGTGAATGAAAGGCCAGTGGGACCCAGCACCACGCCTGACACTGTGGGGAGAGGTGACAGGATTGGCATTTGCTGCTGTGGGGGCACCTTAGCCCCCCAGGGAAATGTTGAGACCCCCTGGCCTCCTTCCAGAACCTCATTGAACCCCACTGCCTTAGAGTGGATTTTGACTCATAGTGACCCTACAGGACAGAGTACAACTGCCCCATAGGGTTTCCAAGGCTGTAATCTTTACGGAAGCAGACTGCCACATCTTTCTCCCACAGAGTGGCTGGTGGATTTGAACCACCGACATTTTGGTTAGCAGCCGAGCACTTTAACCACTGTGCCACCAGGACTCCATGCCTCCTTACAGAAACCAAAAACCCATTGTTGTCTAGTCGATTCTGACTCGTAGCAACCCTACAGGATGGAGTAGAACTGCCCCTTAAGGTTTTCAAGGAGTGGCTGGTGGATTTGAACTGCGGACCTTCTGGTTAGCAGCTGAATGCTTAACCACTGCACCCAAAGCTACAATACCAGATGTGCACTGAGTGGCAGTGGGGTATACCCTGACTCCACCCTAGACCACTGGCTTTTGCTAGCCAATCACCCAGCTCCAGCCCCAACCCCACCCACCATTGCTGTGGCCTCTCAGACGTCTGAGCCAGCCCACCACCTCTGACTTCAAGCTGGAAGGATCCTTTCCATGTCCTTCCCATGAGGCCACCAAGGCCCAGAGAGGGTGGATCCCGTGCTCAGCACCACACAGCTGGTTGGTGGCTGAGGCACAACCAAGCCCAGAGCTGCCTGCTTCCTACCTCATCATCTGGCTTCCCCAGGAGGCAGTGGGGTCTGCCACTCCCAGCTTTGGAGGGATGGAGGGCATTTCAAGTTCATGCCATACCCTTTACCCAGAGGGTCTATTTCAGTCACCGGGACCCACCCCAAGCCCTGCTCTGAGCAAGGACAGGCAGGGGGAGGAATAGCATCCAAATGTCACTCCAAGAAGGGGCTTTTCTGACCTGTGTCCCACCCCTTCTGTTGGCGGCTCAAGCCTGGCAGAACAAAAACCCCCAAAGGTCACAGCCACCTCCCTCCAGAAAGCCACAAGTTGCAAAGTTCAGGCAGGCTCTGAAGGAGGACCCAGAAGGGGACTCATGTAACAAACAGGATCCCAGCCAGCCAGGCCCCTCACGGGCTAGCCCCTCCCAGTCCAGCCCTGCCAAGGGGAGGAGCAGAGACCTCTGGCAGAGCCTGACAGAGCCGGGGGCCTGGGTCCTCCAGTTTTACCACTCGGTCTGTCTGTGTGTCCGTGAGGCTCACCTATCTGAGGTGTGAGGGAGTGTGAAGTGTGCACACATGCATGTCTACATATGGGGGCACGTGGCCATGTCTGTGAGTGATGCAGTTAGTGTGTCTGCTGTGGGGGGCAGAGAGAGGCACTCCCAGGTTTGTATCCTGGGCCCTTCTCACTAGCTGTACGACCCTGGGGAAGTTACTTAACGTCTCTGAGTCCAAGGTTCCTGAGTTGTAAAACTGGGGCAATAATCATACTACCTGCATGGTGGCTGTGAAGATAAAGAGTGCGTACAACAGGCTCAGCACAGTGCCTGACATACAGTCAGTGCCTCCTAAATGTTGGCTCTCGTTATTAAATATGAGCCCGTGCATGAGTGTATCTGTGGAGTGACTATGGGTGACCTCACATATGTGGATGCACTGGCCTTTTCTGAACAAAGGAGAAGTCATTGTCCCATCATGCCCTGGGAGTTACTTCTGCAGCAGGAGGGACAGGTCACCCGTCTGAGGGTGAGTCACCCCCACCCTTAACTCCAGCTGGCCTCCTAGCAGGGACCAACTGCCAGCCAGCTAAGCTACAGGGTGGGGCAACCAACCCTAGAACAGCTCAGGACAGCTTTGAATGTCTCTCCTGGCAACAGGGCAGTGAGTAAAGGCAAAGCCTGCAGATTCCAACTGGGTTTCAAACCCAGGGTATGCCACTTACCTAGTGGTCTAACCTTATACGAGTAGCTGAACCTCCCAGAGTCTGAGTTTCCTCATCGGTAAAATGGGGGTGACAATACCTCACAAGGGTACATGAAGATTCAGTGGCAGCACAGCCGCCTCCAGTGAGGTCTTGCTGGTAGCCTGAGCTTGGCCGTAGTGGGAGCGTTTACACCACGGAAATTGGCAAGCACCACCAATCAGGGTTTTTTCTCCTCAAGAGCTGGTTACCAGCATACCACTGGGCTCTGCACACAGCAAACAGAAGTTAAGCTGCTCACACTCAGTGAAGGCAAAGCCCAAGGAAGGGAAAGGGAGGCTCCTGGGCCACCCCCTGGGACATCTTCATGGTGCTGAATATTACGAAACCCTGAGTTGGGAAAGAGAATGTGGTGGCTGGGCTACCAGGGAAGAGCTCAAAGGCACAGCTGTTGGCATCACTGAACTAACGCCAGAAAAGGGAGGGGTGAGATTTACACCACGGAGGAAAGAGAAACAGTTCGATTCCCCAAACCAGTGTTTATATCCATGGAAATACTCTAGTATCTGGGAGTCCAGAGACAACACTGGGACTAACTGCTCTGTGACCTTGGGCAAGTCCCTCTCCCACTCGGTGCTTCTTTACTTGTCAACGAAAGCAGGAGATAAAATCAAAACATGATCCCTACCAGGTCCGACCCATGGCAACCCCTGTGTCAATCTCAGGCACTGGGCCACCCAGGGCTGGGCTATTCCCTAGCCCAGTGGTTCTAAACCAGGGGCAATTTTGCCCCCCACGGGACATTTGGCAATGTCTGGAGGCATTTTTGGTTGTCACTGCAGGCATCTAGTGGGTAGAGGCTAGGGATGCTGCTAAACGCCCTACAGTGCACAGGACAGCTGCCCTCAACAAAGAATTATCCGAGTGCTCGCTTTGGCAGCACATCTACTAAAATAGGAACGATACAGAGAAGATTAGCATGGCCCCTGCACAAGGATGACAGGCAAATTTGTGAAGCGTTCCATATTTTTACAACAAAAAGACAAATAACCCAATTAAAAAATGGGCAAAGGATATGAACAGGCACTTCGCCAAAGAAGATATTCAGGCGGCTAACAGACACATGAAGAAATGCTCACGATCATTAGCCATTAGAGAAATGCAGATCAAAACTACAATGAGATATCATCTCACCCAACAAGGCTAGCATTAATCCAAAAAACACAACATAATAAATGCTGGAGAGGTTGTGGAGAGGTTGTGGAGAGACTGGAACACTTATACACTGTTGGTGGCAATGTAAAATGGTACAACCACTTTGGAAATCGATTTGGCACTTCCTTAAAAAGCTAGAAATAGAAGTACCATATGATCCAGCTATCCTGCTCCTTGTAATATATCCTAGAGAAATA